TGGAATTTGTATGGATGTGAAGAATAGGGGAGGTTTATGTTTCCTCTATGTTAAACTGATTTCTGAATATGTTTATTTTCAATGAAAACTTTCAACATGTTTTAGAGAGCCTGTTTACCTGACTCAGAGCTGTAGATTTTCTGTAGAGCTGGTAGGTGATGTCAGCTAGGCACTGCAAGCCTCAATTCACATTAAATTCATCTGGTTTTTTAATCTATTATTCTTATAATGGATGTATTCATGCATATTATTTAGGGAGAAATTTAATTATTCAGTTTTAAAATTTGACACTTCAGGGACAGCTCTTAAGGAATGAAGTGAGATCTGAATTATAAATGAGACAAACCATCAGCACCTAAATGGGAATTTTGATTACCAGAAGGTCAGAGGGGATGAGGTTGTTCAGCTCTAGGTCTTTGATTCAATTGAATACTATACAGGACCTGGCAGAGAAATTCAGTTCCACGTTCCTAAATGCTAAGATTAATTAAGAAAGTGACTGCTCAGAACCCATGGGGCATTTGTTTCATGTCCATCTTTTCTTTAAACAAAGTATTGTGTAATTTCAAAGGCAGGATAGATTGTGTTACTGCTGAATTTGGTGCTCAGGCTGAAGATGAAGAAACAATTCAGAACTGTTTTCTTACGGGTAAATTTTACCCCATATTGTGTGCTTCTGGAAGATATAATATCAACCTCCATGACACCTCATGTATTAATGATAAACAGAAAAAAACCACCTGAAACCCAATGAAACTAGTGCAATCTGGAAAGCCTCCACAGAACAGCTGTGGAATTACTTCTTGACTGTAGCAGGTTTCCTCTTGCTCAGTATAGCAGTCTCTTGAGTAACCAAAATTTACCTACACCTACGAGCAGGAACTCAAAATATTAATGAAGCCATGAACCACATACTGGGATCATGAAGGCAATAATTTCCAGAATGGTTTATTGCAGATGAGTCAGAGTAACTCTGGTCCTACTGAGTTCTGTGAAAACCAGTGGGAGTAACTGTGCAACTGGATTTAGGACCTAGAGGATTTGAGCTGTATGGATGCCTCTGTACCAGACCAGCCACGGTGCAGTTTCTTTCCATTTCCCTAAAACATGAGATAAATTTCCAGGGTTTTTAAGTCATATGAGTCTGAACTGACTGCAGCATGGCTTCCACGTATGATTTGATATTTTGAAACACTCGGGGATTTGGACACAGTTCTTAATACACATTCTGCTGTTTTGCAAGACTGATTTTTACAGATCTGTGTGGAAGACTTGAATTTTTATAATGCCATCACAATCATAAGACATGTTGAACAAAATTTATAATTATATGTTGTTTTGATAAAAAAGGAATACACATTGCTCCACTACCTGATATAAAAAGAAGACATGTTTAATTTGAAGCTGACGCTAATTTTTCCCTGTGTGAATATAATGGTATGTATAATAAAGTTAATAACAACAAGAAAGATGTATTTCTTATATCATATAATTTGGATCATTCAAAAATAAGTTTATTATGACTCCTAGCTATTTGCTACACCCAGTTCTTACTGTAGCACTACAATAGCTTAGCTGTACTCTTCAATCTATTTAAATAAAATATTGGGTTTTTTTTTCCCAAATAGAACATTATTGCTGGCTCAGAAATACAGGCTAGTACATTCATTTGCTGCAGAGCTGTAACATGAATTGTGTGGAGTTCTGGCTGGACGAGAGGGGACATAGCTTGGTGCATTGAGCAACCCAGGTTCCGATCCGGAAGTGAGCCTTGGGAGCGGCTGACACGGAACCCTGCTGGGAAGGTAGAGCGACGAGCTCGGGACACTGGAGCGGGGGGAACGTCCCCGTTTCCTGCCACACTGTCACTTCCTTCCTGCCACGTTGTTGTTTCCTGCCACAGTACTGTTTTCACATTGAGATGCAGCTCTG